TGGTTTTCCTGAACAAACAAACTAAAGACTGGAAAGATATGTACATTTTCCAGTGGATTGCTCTTTCAGGTAAGAAAAGATTCTTTTAACTGAGCGTGTTTAAAACATGAAATGGCGAAGTAACGAAAGGGCATTACAGCTAAGAATCAATGTGGGATAAGGGTGTCTGTAAGGGCTAACCCTTATAATTATTAAGAGCTAACCACTGTCGAGTCAATGATATTTAGGCTAACCTGAGCGCTATTTAGGCTAACGGCAGTTCCATTTCTCCATTTCGTGTTTTAAGGTGGCTTACTACAGTTTTGATGGATTACAACAGCCCAATTTCTAGCTTTTTTCAAAACTGTTCCAAGATATTTTTCCTTTCTCTATTTACTGTTTGCTGAAGTCTTTTACCATTCCTTTCATGCAAGTTTGATCATTAGAATCTTTATCCATCCTTGCCATCGATATTCATCCTAGGCCTCTCTTCCTAATGATTCCCTATCATTTGTCCAGTACTTTTCTACAAAGTTAATTCATTTTTGTTGAGTTTCCTGTTATCTAGCAATGATTTCTGCCTCCGTTTTCAATTTTGTACACTTTGCAATAAAACATCCTCGCCATCGTTCCTAATAGGGTCCTGTCATTTGTCAAGTTCTGTCCTACAAAATCAAAGTTTTTTTTATGATCTAGAAATGTTTTTCACTATCTTGAGATCGTGCTGTTAAGAAAGCACTTGACAATTCAATTCTCTGGAGATCCTGAAAAGTTCAATGGCCACGATTTTTAGATTTATTGGTATTCTTCCATGCTTATTATCCGCTTTAACTTTTGTCTACTAGGAGTCTGGGGCGGAACTGCAGAGCAAGTCAGTCTATTTTCCTCCGGGAACACGCTCGGTATCCCACATTTCCTCGTGAGCCCGCTGACCGTCCGAGGCGAACAACGCACGGCCACCAGCAACGTATTCTTGCTGCCGAGTCGCGAGTTATGGTCAGCGGATGAAATATTGGCTAAAACACCGCAACGGTCATACACTGTCAACGACTTCGACGACTTCTTTCAAGATATGGGCTTCCCACTCGGGATAAAACTACGAAAGTTGGTGGAAAACATCTCGTATCCACTAACAGCGCATGCTCCCAATGTAACCGTGCACTGTTTGTATGGGACTGGGGTGGACACGGCAGCGAATTTCGAATTTGCCGAAGGTGAATTCCCGGATACTGAACCACACGTTGTGTATGGTGATGGAGATGGTACAGTCAATAGACGCAGTCTGGAGG